TCTTTACCTTCTGGGATACCTATTATATATGCTAGATTATTTGATATTATCCCACAGGTCCGTGAGGCTCTGTTATTTTTTTCTTCAATATTTTTTCCTCTCTGTTCTTTGGATTGAAAAACTTCTATTTATCTGTCTTCAATCTCTTTACCTTCTGGGATACCTATTATATATGCTAGATTATTTGATATTATCCCACAGGTCCCTGAGGCTCTGTTATTTTTTTCTTCAATATTTTTTCCCCTCTGTTCTTTGGATTGAAAAACTTCTATTTATCTGTCTTCAAGATCACTGACCATATTGTAACAGGGATGACATAGCAAATGTGGTTGCCTAGGTATTAGAAGTAGAAGACCACACCTAAATGGCTCAAGCAGGTGGCCAGAGATAAGAACTTAGAGGCATCTTTCCTGCCTAGCAGAGGCTCCCACTTTCTCAACTCTTCCAGCCACTCTTCGTTTAAATGGACCATTCAGGCACTTACCTGCAAACTTAACATGACCCAGACCCTATTCCCTTATACAGATGATTCCCCACTTACAGAGTTTACATCCTGATAAACGCATTGTAAGTTGAAATTATTCTAAGTTGAAAATGCGTTTAACACACCTACTGAACATCATAGCTTCGCCTAGCCTACCTTAAATGTGCTCAGAACACTTACATTAGCCTACAGTTGGGCAAAATCATCTAACACAAAGCCTGTTTTATAATAAGGTATGGAATAGCTCATGTAATTTATTGAATACTATACTGAAAATGAAAAACATAGTGGTTGTATGGGCGCTTGAAGTCTGGTTTCTACTGAATGTGCATTGCTTTTGCACTANACAACGAACGTAATTATTGATATGATTAGGATTAAGTCAACCATCTTGCTCTTTCCTTCCCACTGTCCCTTCTGTTTTCTGTGGTTCTTTTTATTTATTTTTGCTGTGGTGGTGTTCTCCACTGTTCCTTTCCTGCCTTCTTTTGGGTTAATAAAATATTTTTAATATTTAATTTTATCTATTCTGTTGCCTTTCTAGTGATACTTTATTTTGTTTTATTTTTAGCAACTGCTCCAGAGCTAACATGTGCATCCTTAATCTACCATAGTTTATTTAGAGTTCACGTAGGACTACCTCGCCCTTCTCAGCGGACATTTCACACTTCACATCAGCCCAATTCAATTGCCCACCTCCCTATCATTCGTGTAACTGTTGCCGGATCTTTTACTTCTCCATACATTGTAGACAATGTCACCATTCTGCTTTAAACAGTCAGTTGTCCTGTAAGGAAATTGCAACAACAAAAAGAATAGCCTTATATTTACTAATTTACTATTTGCAGTGTTCTCCTTTCCTTCAGATTTCAGATTCCTTCTGGTTTCATTTCCCTTCAGCCTGAAAATCTCCATTATCCTTTCTTTGTAGAGCAAATTGGGTGGTGATACATTCACTGTGCTTTTGTGTTTCTGAAACCTCTTTATTTCACCCTTGTTTTGAAGAATACTTTTGCTGGTTATAGAATTCTCAGTTTACTATTATCTGGTTTCTGTTGTTTCTGATAATGGATCAATAGTAATTATTACTGTTCTTCTGTATGTAATATATCTCTTTTTTTTTTCCTGGTTTCTTTCAAGCTTGTTTTTTTTAATCCACAGTGTATAGTATTTTCACTATAATATGCCTATGTGTAGCATTCTTTTTACTTATTGTGCTTGGTGCTCCCTGGGATCTTACAGTTGATTTTTTTTTTAAATCAAATATGGGAAATTATTTCTTCAACTATTTTTTCACCTCATTCTCACTCTCTTTACCTTCTGGGATACCTATTATATATGCTAGATTATTTGATATTATCCCACAGGTCCCTGAGGCTCTGTTATTTTTTTCTTCAATATTTTTTCCCCTCTGTTCTTTGGATTGAAAAACTTCTATTTATCTGTCTTCAAGATCACTGACCATATTGTAACAGGGATGACATAGCAAATGTGGTTGCCTAGGTATTAGAAGTAGAAGACCACACCTAAATGGCTCAAGCAGGTGGCCAGAGATAAGAACTTAGAGGCATCTCTCCTGCCTAGCAGAGGCTCCCACTTTCTCAACTCTTCCAGCCACTCTTCGTTTAAATGGACCATTCAGGCACTTACCTGCAAACTTAACATGACCCAGACCCTATTCCCTTATACAGATGATTCCCCACTTACAGAGTTTACATCCTGATAAACGCATTGTAAGTTGAAATTATTCTAAGTTGAAAATGCGTTTAACACACCTACTGAACATCATAGCTTCGCCTAGCCTACCTTAAATGTGCTCAGAACACTTACATTAGCCTACAGTTGGGCAAAATCATCTAACACAAAGCCTGTTTTATAATAAGGTATGGAATAGCTCATGTAATTTATTGAATACTATACTGAAAATGAAAAACATAGTGGTTGTATGGGCACTTGAAGTCTGGTTTCTACTGAATGTGCATTGCTTTTGCACTATTAAAGTTGAAAAATCATAAATCGAACCATCATAAGTCAGAGACTGTCTATATATACTGCTAGTCGCCATGGTCTCTCTCTCTCTCTGCCTGACTCTTCATGTGACCTCCCTCATGTGACCCAGGAACGGAGAGAACTGCCCTCCCAACCCAGGACCTGTAAGTTATAAATCTTTGAACTTATTTCCTATTGTGGTGGTATACTGAATTTATGCCTTCCATCAGAAGAACCAGGGGCTACTCCGGGCCCAGTTTTCCCCAGGACACCAGGTAGAACACAAAGTCAGACTCCCAGTGCCAGAGTGATGTTCAAGAAAGCATAAACTGGACATGGGTCAGACAAGCAACAAGGATGTCTGCCGTTATAAACAAGTTTCCTGTGTGAGGGACCCCCTGGTCACAGGTTGGACAACTAGGCATTAGGCTATCCACCAAGTAAAAGAAGTATCCCATGAAAGGCACACTGTGTATACCCACACTCAGCTCCCCTTCATTTCCCGTTAGGGAAGGGTTGCTCGCTGCTCTAGTACTGGAACCCAAATTTAGCTGAAGGCTCTTGAAATACCTATCACCTGATATCTTCAATCTGTTAAACTCATTTATTGAATTTTTCATTTTGGTTATTGTACTTTTTAATTCTACAATGCCAGGCATTGTAAAGATGCCAGGCAGCCCAAAGACAAGGTTGGCCATGATGACCTCTGGAGTTCCCAGATTTAATTACTGTTTGCACAATAATAACTCATATTTAAAAGCAAAGGAAGCTAAAGGTGATTTGCATGCTTTTCTTTAATGCTGGCTGCTGAGTGCACACTCTTGTTTCCTCTGCTAATTATTGGACACATAATTAACCTATTCTATGATGGGTTATAGCCTTTTAGAGTTGGTGGCCATGACCAAGCATCAGCTGAGGGGAAGGCTTTGGGTCAGGATGATTTCTCTAAGGTGCAAAACCCAGCAGTCTGTGCTCTTGCCTCCAAGGAGAACTTGGCCCTCTCTCACCACCTTCCTCTCCCCAAAGACTCAGATTCTGAGAGAGGACAGTGTGGAGACCTTGGGAGTCTCCTTTCACATTCTGACTACACCACTCTATGGAGCCTTGTGTGTATGGCCTTAAACAAATCACTGGACCACTCTGAGCTCACCCTCCTAATCAGGTAAATGGGCACAATAATAAGGGCCTCAGAAGGATGCCTTGGAAGTCAGATGAAATAATGTATCAAAAAGCCCTCAGGACAGTACTAGGCGCATTGTGGGCACTCCGTAAGTACAACTCCCTTCCCCTCCCCCAAGCACGGTGGAGAGAGGTATAGGAAGAAATTGCTGGGTGGATAAGGGAGACACTTACTCTGGGAGGAGATATGAGCTGAGTTCTAAGAAGTTAAAGAGAAGAGAAAGTTATTGCCCAAAGGGACACAGGATTAATAACAAATTAATAATAGAATAAATAGAACAAATAATAAATAAGCAAACATTTATGGAGCTCTTATTAAATGCTAGGTAGGGCCCTAAATGCTTTCTGGTCCATTATCTCAGATCCTCCCAACAACTCTCAGGTGGGTACTATTATTATCCCTATTTTGCATATGAGGAAACTGAGGCTCGGAAAGGTTATTAACCTGTAGGACTGACTTCGGAGGCCCCACCCCCTCAACGCACTCGCGCCCCACACCATACAGAGGTGCGAGGATAGCTAAGCCCAACACGTCCAGCTCGCAGGGCCTGGCGCCTGGTTGCGACCTACATGGGGTCCGGTGTTACCCAGCCGCCCTGCCTGGGGACGGAGCCAGTGATCCAGCGCGACCCAGAGTCAAGTCCCAGCAGGGGCGTGGAGGTTCCGCCCGCGATGCCCGAAGTGCACGGCCCGCCGAGCTGAGCAGGCGCTTCCCGGCCCCATAAAGCGCGGGTGGGGGGCGAACGCCGTTTTATGGAGGCGGCCGGGCGGCCCGGCCCGCTTTGATTCCGGGCTCGGCGAGGCGCGCGGGCCGAGCCCTCCAAGCTCATAAACGCCGTGGCCGGAGCTCCCTCCCCGGGCCCGCAGGCCGACATAAAAGGCTCGGCGCGGGCTTGGGGCTCCAGCGCCCGCCACT